TTGTTAAAATCACATACAAGAGTATGATATGCCTTTGCAGAATATTAAAGGTGATATTTTGGTAGAAAAATATAAGTATTTTCTTTACTGTGCCTAACGTACCCACCCCAGTGTCCTGCTGAGCTACCAGTGTCTTATTCCTGCTGTATAGAACAAGGCACTAAAAATACTAAATTTTGTAGCAAAAACTCATGAAATTCAAATCACCTAGTGGATTTCAGGCTGATAAACAGCCACCTCAGGGGAAAATCCCAACTCAGTTCAATAATCCTTACCCCCTGAGTTTTGCAAGTTACAGTCTAACAGGGGAAGTGACATGAGCACCTGTAGTTTTAATGAAATGTGTCACATTATGTTTGATAGAAAGATCTTTCCGAAAGGGTTGAGTAAGTACAGGATATGTCTGTAACAAATTACTAAACTCATTATGTTCTTTGTCAATAACTGAAATAAATGTAGATGTGAGCGATGACAATTCGCCAAGAACGCTATGAAATGTTACTGCATCTAAGAGTCTGTTCTTTTTCATATAGACTGATGAATTGAAATACCGTAAGAAATCTGCTCCCACAATACAATGTTTGACATCAGGTATGACGAATTTCCAAGAAAATTTCTTTTTCAAACCAAAATCTAACAACATTTCATGATCGCCGAAGGTCCTGATGTTTGTATTATTAGCAGCAGATAAGAAATAACGGAAAATTTCATTTTTTTGTTTGAATTTGCTGATTGGTAATGAGCTCACTTGAGCTCCCGTGTCGACCAAAAACTGAAATCCAGTTCTATTGTCTCTGACGAAAAAGAAACGGCTATTATCATGAAATGCAGCATTCGCCGTCACTGATGCTGCAACTTGAAGTTTTCCGACTCAGAGCAAGGATCCATACATTTCTTAGCTCTTGAACCAAATGATGAATGATACCAGCATAAAACAGGTCCATCTTTTCTGGAATCCATAGATTGTGAGAAAGGTTTGGATTTCGAACGATCTTGACACATTCTACTAACGAGGTTCTTCAGCTCTTTCAACTCAGCTGAGATGTCTACTGTATTGCTGTGTGTCACAGGATCGTACGTGAAGTTCAAACAATCTATTGCACTTTCCATGATCCTATCTGCTTTACTTGCTAATTCTTCGATAGTAACAGTGCTATCTAGATAACAAGAAAGCATAACTTGAATATTGTTGGGAAGTTGGTTCAAGTTTCGTTTAGCTGAAATCAGTTATGGAAAATTTGTTGCTATGGCAACCGTTGTCATGGTAACAGGTAAACAGAAAACAAAATCCCGTGGTGAGGAAATGCATGGTTGCCAAGTTGTATCGGGTTAAGTAGAGCTGAAAGCAGTTATGGAAAAACTGTTGCCATGGCAACGTTCGTCATGGTAGGGAGTTGAGGAAAACCCGATTCTTGTGGTGAGGAAATGCGTGGTTGACAAGTTGTATCGGGTTTAGTTTGGCTGAAATCAGTTATGGAAAATTTATTGCCATGGCAACGATCGTCATGATAACGAGTAAACAAGAATCCGATTCCAGTGGTGAGGAAATGCGTGGTTGCCAAGTTGTATCGGGTTTAGTATTGCTGAAATCAGCGCAATCTACGACCCTCAAATTTTGTTTCACAAAAGTTCTTGCTAGTATTAGAAAAATAACTTGATTAAAATGAATACCCTTCTTATCAATTTCTTGAATACTGTTCGTCGTTGATTGATTCCTAAATTACTACTTCTCTGACGATCATATATGGAAATAACGTCAGGAAGAAATAGGCTTTGTTATTGAAAAAAGCTAGACAAAATAGCGAGCGACAAAATAGTGCGGAAAAAATAGCGCATGAGGAAGGATACTACTTCTTTTAAACAATCTAACCTAACTCGGCCTAAATGAACCTTCTTTGAAAAAATATATTTTTCAACGTCGATCAGATTTGGTAGCAAGGCATCGTTCGTGTGTGTTTGAAGACTGCATTAAAAAGGACACTACTTTTTCCAAACAATCTAACCTAACTCGACTTAAATCAACCTTCTTCTTGGAAAACATATATTTTCCAACATCGTTCAGATTTGGTAGCAAGGCATCGTTCGTGTATGTTTGAAGACTGTTGCTGAATCAAAATGTGCGCGTGAAGAAAGGTATGGGTGAATCGAAATGAAGGCAAATGGAAAAGGATGGTTACATTGAAGAGTGTCTTTGGAATTAATGAATGAAGCTATAATTCTCCGATACAACTTGGCAACCACGCATTTCCACACCACGGAAATCGAGTTTTTGTTTACTCGTTACCATGACGATCGTTGACATGGCAATAGTTGTTCCATAACTGATTTCAGCCAAACTGAATCCTATATAACTTGGCAACCACGCACTTCCTCACCACGGGAATCGGGTTTTTGTTTACTCGTTATCATGCAGATCGTTGCCATGGCAACAGTTTTTCCACAACTTATTTCAGCTATACTAAACCCGATACAACTTGGCAACCACGCATTTCCTCACCACGGGAATCGTTTTTGTTTACTCGCTACTATGACGATCGTTGCCATAGCAACAGTTTTTTCATAACTGATTTCAGCTAAACGAAACTTGAGCCGGGAAGTTTTTGTAGAAATATTTCGCGAAGAAAACACTGATCGATTTGAGTATCTCCAATAAGTTGTTGCAATTTTCTCAGAAGTTGTGATGGTTTCTGGTCTCCTAGGTATTCAGTACTTGATAATTGCTTGGAACTTTTTCCTTTGGATAATGACATTCTTGCAATTAGCGTTTCTATCAGTGTTTTGTAAGGAGTGTCTTCAGGAATGGAAATGATTATATCTCTGACTTCCATAGCTACCTCTGGATCAAGTGAAGCAATTACGTAGTTAAATTTGGTCAGTTCTGATGTTATCCTGTTATTATTGAATTGTGCCTCTACTTGAGCGAACCACAATGTGGGGTCGGCCTTCCAAAACTGTGGCAAATTCAAGGATACGTTGGTTACATCTGCTGAAGGGACACTTTCAGTCATGTTGGCTTGTCGGGGTCACCAATTGTAGCGGTTCTATATAGAAATTCTATATTATTTTATAGAGAACAATTGTTTGAGTTGATTGATTGATGATTTATTTATTTGACAAGTTGTCTAGCTATTGTCATCTACCAATTTACCCTGTGATCATAATCACAGTAAATACAATTAACTTTACTACAGACTCACCACCGATTGCGTTGTTCGAATCCCTCACACACCTGAACACCTCGAAGAGATTCACTTTCTGCTGTAGGAACTCGGTCTCTGCTGCCATGCTTGTTATGGCCTCGATTCCTCTGCCTACCCTAGGCCCGCTCTGTACATCCGGAGGAGGGCGTGCTAGTTCTTGTGTCTTGATATGTTTCAGCTGAAGCAGGTTGTCTGGCCTTTCTTTCTCGTTTCCTTTGTTCTCACGCATCAGTGCTTGGGGGCGGGGCTGAGGTATATACCCATCCACCCGGCCGTTCTTTTCTGTTGTTCCTTATTAAATCTAGTCTCTTGAGGTATATATCGCATGAACTGTGTTTGGCCGGATGGGCTTCCCCACAGTTCACGAATTTCGCAGGCTCTTGTTTCGGCAGTTTCCAGGCAGATATGGGGTGTCCACCAGCACATTCCAGGCACTTATGGTCCCTGTAGCACATGCTGGTGGCATGACCCCACATCTGAAAGCGCTTGCACTGCGTTACCTCTCTGTTGTTCCTCCTCAGCTCTCAAGCAATCTTGCAGGACAGTAGTGACCTGACCTTATTACTTAGGAGCTGGAGAATAATGATTGGGTCTACCACACGACCAGGTAGAGCGACCTAAACCTCGTATAGAGTCTGTAGACCTTCTTGACCTTGATGCCATAATTGTCGTTAATTATATAGATCTTGGAGGGCTCAGGCCGTTCAGAATTCAGACCCCTCAGCGGCCTTAGCACAAATACGTGGGTTTTATCCTTCTTCAAGCAACTACTACAACTACTTTCCTGGCTATTTGCCACGTCGAACATTGAATTATATCAGTTGAACATCCGAAAGGAGAGCATGAAAAATGAAAATCCTCTGAAATTTAGAATTGACATCCTCTCTCAAACCGGATAATTAATATAGGAATTCCATTTCGTACGCTGCAAGCGATACAAAAATCTGTGGTTGTTTCCCATGACGTATAGTGTATAGTTCATGAAGCGAGGAGAAATAAAAAAAGTAATCGAGGACCTTGTTTTGATTTAGCTCAGCTAGGTACACCAGGTGCATTACGCCGACTTTCGACTGCTAGGTAGTTCGGACGGCGGGGCGCACCATTGTGCAAATAGCCGAGTTTCAGTGTAAGCTATCGCATTTAGCGATAGCGTGACACTATGTACCTATGTTGCTATCGTATTAGGTAGATAGCGGTTACTAATCATCGGGTTCCCTAAAGACATCGGTTGTTGCATTTATCAACCCGTGTTTCTTATGGATGTTATGGTGAGCTCTTATTTCGGTCATCGTCCGGGTAAGGTCACTTTCAGCGATGTGGTATTTGTAGAACTCATCAGCAGTTTTCATTATGAATTCTCTATTTCTTGGCGAATTACCGACTGTTTTTGTTCGCTCTTATTATATCTAGTCTCCGCAGGTAGTTCTTGCACGAGCTGTGATTGGCCGGATGGGCTTCACCACAGTTCGCGCATTTAGCTGGGTCTTGTCTGGGCAGTCACCAGTCAGCAGTGGGGTGGATACCAGCGCTTTTCATGCATGTAAATTCACTGTAGCAGTTGCTGGTGGCGTAACCCCACAGATGACAGCGGTTGCACTGGGAGACTTTCTGATTATTCCTCCTTAGCTCCCAAGTAATCCTGACGGATAGTAATGCTTCCACTTTGTTGTTCAGGAGCTGGAGAGTGATAATCAAGTCAACGACGACCAGATAGAGGGGCCTGAACCTCGTTTCGAGCCTGTAGACCTCTTTGACCTGCATTTCATATTCGTCTTCTAGTTCACGTGAGATCTCAGAGGGCTAAGGCTCAAAGTCCAGGCCTCTCAGCACAAATGCATGGGTTTTTTCCTTCTTCGGGGCGTACCTGTAGAACGCTACTTCGTCCTCCTCCAGCTTCTTCCTGACGTTCTCGAAATCCTCAATGGTTTCCGTGTATAATAGCGTGGAATCCCCCCGTATTTGAAGCAGAATGGTTTTTTTCTGAGAGATTTCATGAGTGGAATTATTTCTCGCCCATTCTTCAGAATTCCGTCAAATACGATTGGAGTATTTTTTCCTGCTTCCTCCGGCTGGATGGTGTGTGCAGAAGTTGTGGCACTTCGGGATCTGTGTGGCGTAGGTTTCCCGGCTAAGCTATTATTCAGGGCCTTTTTCCCTTCACCATAGTCTGACTCTTCCGCTGAGAGTTGATCTGGTGGTAGGGGAAGTTCTTGTGACGGCTTCCTGTTGTTCCTCAGCACCTCGAACCTGTTCTGAGTGTTGGTGGGGTTGGGGCGTTTCTGGAAGGCTGCTGTCAATTTTGTGGTCTTTTTTGGCATTATAAAGCCCTCGAGATCTTGGTTTTTGAGTTTTCGACTCCTAGTTTTGTCCGCCGGCACACTGTTCAGGTCTCGAGGTCTTTTCTCCAGTCTTCTTGGAGGTGGCGGAATGGTGTCCATCTTCTCAGGGGATACTCTAGCCACGTGGTTCAGAAAGTTGTCCTCCGCCTCCTGCAATCTTGTGACCACCAGTTCGTCGTGGCTTCTCTGGTTATCCATGATATAATTGAGATATTTTGCTGGCATGGCAGGGAGCTCTTCTTTTTCTTATCAATAGTTGCTCTTCTTGAAAATTGGGAATTGACATTCGCTCTCAAATCAGATAATTGATGTAGGGATTCCATTTCTTACGCTCCAATCGATACAAAAATCTGTGGTTGTTTTCCATGACGTATAGTGTATAGTCCATGAAGCGAGGAAGAAAAAAAAAAAGCAACGGCACGCGATGTTCCCAAGCGGTCACCCATCCAAGTACTAACCGCGCCCGACGTTGCTTAACTTCTTAGATCAGACGAGTTCAAATGAAATTCAATTCATTTATTCGTTGACACAGTTTTTACAATACAACACATATTACATCAACATATCTGTGTATAATGGGCTTGACATATCTGTGAGTATGACTGAACGTCCCTCCGCTGGCGCAGAGGTGGCTGATGTTAGCCAAGGAATATGAGAGGATATGTGAGGTGTTCGTCGCAGTGACGCAGTGGCTAGGCCCTTTATACAGGTAATCTCGCTGGTGGTACCCATAGGGTGGGGGAATTGCTCGTGCGCGATCAGAGTGGGAAGGGTTGCTAAGTCGTTGGAGGAAAAATAAAATTGAAATAAAATAAAAAACCTCCTTCTTATTTATCTCGGGCAGTTGTGCGTATGCGTTTCCACATGGGCACTTCTGCCCGAGTTCAGTGTCTTTTACGACACTTTGTTATCTTCGTGCTTGGGAGATAGTGCTGTCTAGAGTCTCCTCGGTGGCTCGGACATGTCCGAGCACCCGGGGAGGTTCCCGACAATAGATTATCAGGCACCCTAAAAACATCGGTTGATGCATATATCAGTCCGTGTTTTTTATGGATGTTTTGGTGTTGTCTGAGTGTTGTCATATTCCGGGTAAAGTCACTTCCAGCGATGTGGTATTTGTAAAATCTATTAGAGATTTTTGAGATGTATTCGTGGATTCTCGGCAAATTACCACATCTCTCGTGGAGATCTGCCACTCGAGAGTATCTATCAGCATTGGTGATAACACGGAGTACTTTATTCTGCAGCACCTGTAACCTATTCATATTGGTAGGTGAGATGCTCCAGAACACTGGACACGCGTATGTCATCACTGGCCTGATGATGACCTGCTTGTATACCAGGACCTCATTCTCCTGCGAGAGAGCTGAGATCCTGGATATCAAGGGGTACATCTTTCTGATGGCATTTTGTTTTTTTTGGATGAGGTAGTTTGTATTCTTTCTCAGACCCATACGGGTGTCCAATTTGACTCCCAGGTATTTCACGGTGGTCGCGTCTGCCACCTCAACCCCTTTGACGGTCAAAGGTCTGCTCAGTCGAGAGCTGTTGACTTTTTTGTGGAACTTGATGACCTCAGTCATTGCGCTGTTTATGCAGATCTTTGACTCGCCAAAGTACGGTATGATTCCCCTGTCCAGATGAATCTGGATCTGTGCCCTGGCGATATTCGAGTCGTCCGAGTGAACATATATTGCCGTATCTTGGGCAGACAATGCTGTACTCGTCCGCTCGAATACAGGGAAATCATGCGTGTATAAGGTATATAACAGAGGTGAGAGGCACGACCCCTGCGGAACACCTGCCTCGAGTGGGAAATCTCCCGATATACTTACGTTGACCTTGACCCGGATCTTCCTGTTGCTGATATATGCATCGATAATCTTAATGATAAAAATCGGCATTCTAGCCTTATGCAGTTTGGACATTAGACCCTCGTGCCAGACGGTGTCGAATGCCTTCTCTACGTCCATGACAGTGTTGTTGTTGCTGGCCTCTTTAACTTCGTGAACAATTCGGGCCACTTGGGACACTGTGCTGTTACCCTTCCGGGACCCAAACTGTTCCTTTGGTATGAGGTCCAGCTCATTAGTGTGGCATGTGATGAGCCCTAAGAGGATTCTATCCACGACCTTGGCCACGGCGCTAAGCAGTGATATGGGGCGGTAGCCATTGGTGGACTCATGATCATTGCCCTGTTTTGGGATAGGTACAACAAGCCCAGTCTTGAGGCATTCTGGGTAGTGCTGGCGTTTGATGGTAGCGTTTATAATGTAGTGTAGCTGTACAATTGGTTTGCGCGACATGTTTTTTAAGAGAACCACGTCAAGTCCATCAGGCCCTGGGGCTTTGTCGATATTCACATACCTATAATGATTTCATTGATTTCTTTTGGGGATGTAATGCTTTTCCCCAGGGCTTGTCGCGGGAGCAGGATGTCTGGCGATGATCTTATCTGCTCTGCTGTTGCCACCATGTCCTCCTGGACCGCATCTATTGGCCTTTTGTCAATTTCAGAGATTTTTTGAAAGAGTTTCCCAAGCACTATCGCCTTCTCCAGATCTGACACCGCTTCCTCGCAACCATACTCCAGGGTAGGTATGGGTGTGAATTTCTTTTTTAACTTCTTTGTCATTTTCCATAGAGTATTGTCGCGAGGGTCCAGACTCTCCAGCTTTGCTCTCCAGGAGGAGTTCCTGAACTCACGAATTTGGCTTCCAATTTCATTACAAATTCTTTTAAAGGCGCCTCTGGTTTCCGAAGTTTCAAGCCGTTGCCAGCGACGTCTCAGGACCTTCTCTTCTGCTATGAGTTCAAGAACTTCCTCCGGGAGTTCGTCCTTGTTGGAGTCAATGCTGACCAGTCGCGTGGTGGCATCTCTGGCCATCGTGATGCTTTGGATGAGCTTTTTCATTTCTTGATTTATCTCTGTCTTTAGGATGTTACTTTTAATTGTGGTTCTTTGGTCGAGCTGAGCTCTGAACATCCGCCAGTTTGTATTCTTCATGTAATCATATATTTTCTTAATGATTTCAGGTGGTTTTTGTCCGAACTTGAATAAAACTGGCAGATGGTCAGAGCTCAGCTCGTCCACCACCTCTAGCTCAGAGATGTCCACCATGATTTTGGACAGCACTATGTCTAGGACTGTCGGTGTCATTCCATTGATGGGATAGTGCGTGGGAGTGTTAGAGAAGTCCAGGTTGACATTGGCGGTTTGCAGATTAGCCTTCAACGTGCACCCGTTGTAATTGTTCTTGACCTGGTTCCCCCAGTCCGCATGTCGCGCATTGAAATCGCCCCCGATTATCACCTTATTGCCAGCACTAACCAGTGCCTCCAGGTCTTGTTCAGTGAGCTTATCCCTGGGCCTGTTGTACACTGAGAAAATAATCTCCCCACTCCGCAGTCTCACCCCTGCATGCTCGATCAAGGTTTGCCTTGGTCGGACCACGGTGTGGGGGATATTGTTCTTAATTAGAATGGCTACCCCCTCGTCCCATCTATCTGTATTAGACCGATCGACCCTGACCATGGTAGAGCCTCTTACTCTGAAGTCATGATCATGATGGAGCTTGGTCTCGGACAAAAGTATAATGTCCAACCTGCGGCGGTATATTAAATTAACAAGTGATGGCATCTTGTTATTGAGGCCGTTGATGTTGATCATACATACCTTAAGGCCGATTCGTACCATTAATATTGTAGTCAGCGATATTCTCAGAGAACCTGGTCACTATTTCAACTATCTCCCAAGGGTTTGTTTTCCCTCCGATCGCGTCGTTCAGGTCCCGCACGCATCTGAACTCCTCAGCGAGATTTACCTTCTGCTCTAGGAGCTCTGTCTCTGCGGCGATACTCGTTATCGTCTCTATTTCTCTGCCAACCCCAGGTCCTCTCTGCGCGCTTGTGGTGGGGCGTGCAGGCGCTCCTATTCTACTGGGCTGTCTGGCCTCTCTGTTCTGCTCCGGGGCACCAGTGGAATCCTACTGCTGTCCTAGTTTTACTAGCATGGCCTCCCTTTCCATCCTTCTTCTTTCCCAAGCATTCGTGCTGGGGGGCAGGGCTGCGGTATAGGGCTGTCCACCCAACCGCTCGTTTTTATTTTTATTGATGACTCCCAGCCTCTTTATGTAGATAATGCACATACTGTAGTTGGCCAAATGGGCTTCGCCACGGTTCGCGCATTTCGCTGGCTCTTGGTTGGGTAATTTGCAGTCAACCGTGGGGTGGCCACCTACACATTTCAAACATTTGTGATCTCGATTACAGTTGCTGGTGGCGTGGCCCCAAAGCTGACAGCGTTTACACTGTGTGACTGCCCGATTGTTCTTCCTCAGCTCCCAAGTGATCCTTACTGACAATAAAGTCCTCACTTTATCACTTAGTAGCCGAAGAGTAACAATCGGGTCTACTACTACCAGGTAGAGAGGCCTATACCGCGTGTTAAGCCTGTAGACCTCCTTGACCTTGATTTTATGTTCTTGTTCCATTTCTTCAATGATCTCGGAGGGCTCAGGCTCAAAGTCCAAGCCCCTCAGCACGAATGCGTGTGTTTTGTCCTGCTTGAGGGCATATCTATAGAAGGATACCTTGTCTTCCTTGAGCCTCCTTTTGACATTTTCGAAATCCTCAGTAGATTCCGTGTATAGCAAGGTGCTCTCATTTCCATACTTGAAATAGATTTTTTTCACTGTGAGAGACTTAATGAGGGGGATGATTTCCTTTCGGTCTCTTAGGATGCCGTCAAAGATGATGGGTGGGGGTTTTTCACCTTCTTTTGTTTGTGGTGGCTGAGAATTCACGTTTTTGGCCTTTGGTTTCCTAGATGTTACAGCTTTACTTTGTGATTGCTTTGCTGATGCCTCCTCTTCATCTGAGGATGGTGGGTCAGACGAAAGAGGGGGTTGCGGTGGTCTGCTAGTTGTCGGTTCCTCGGTGTTTTGGAGAGCTGCAATTCTATTCTGGACTGTGGTGTCGTTCCTTTTTTGGAAAGCCCCCGTCCATTTTGTGGTCTTCCTCGGCATCCTAAATCCGTCATCCTCTGTTTTTTTCGCCTTCTTGCTTCTTGTATTATCTGCTGGGGCTCCGAACTGCTCCCTGGGTCTTTTCTCCAGTCTCCTAGGTGGGGATGTGATGTCTATCTTCTCCGGGGTTAGTTTGGCCACATTGTTGAGCACGATGGGTTTTTATTTCGTTATTCGGTTTCCATCTCCTTAAGTATCGGGGGGCTCCATCTGGCAGGTTTTTCTCATCAATAGTTGCTCTCCTTAAAAATTGTGAATTGGGAATTGACATTCTCTCTCGAATCGGATAATAATTGATATAGGGACTCCATTTCGTGCGCTCCAAGCGATACAAAAATCTGTGGTTGTTTTCCATGACGTATACTGTATAGTTCATAAAGCGAGGAAAAATAAAAAAAGATGGCAACGACACCCGGTGTTCCCAAGCGGTCACCCATCCAAGTACTAACCGCGCCCGACGTTGCTTGACTTCTAAGATCAGACGAGTTTAGGTATATTCAACGTGGTAAATTATCGATAGTCAGAAAAGAATTCAATAGTAACTTTGAATGTATGCAGCATCAATTAACAATAATCATCATTCAGCTAGAGAGTTACACCGCTTTTTCTTTGATTTGTTGCTTTCACTAGCGGTCACTCAAATTAGTTTCTATTCAAGGATATTGATACCTTTGTGTAAGACCGAATTTCACTTCAAGCTCGGCTCATTTTTCACGTGAATACCAGTCCTTAACTCGATTCCATATTTGTGTCTGACATTTGTGAAGAGGTTCTCAATTTGGTTAGAAAGTGATTTCGAAGAGTGAGTAATAATGGGAATTGGAGAAGCGATTTCATTCCTCCTGATTGCCAGCATGTCAATATGTTTTTTTTACGAGGAGGAAAGCCGTGACGATATGCGGTGAAACCTATTTATCGTTCCGTCAAAAGACGATGCTTTTTAACAATTTATTGACTGCCATGGTTCAGGAAGATCAGGAAATGTTTTTCGAATATATATTAAGAATGACAACCAAGATGTTTCTTTATCTGCTCAATTTAGTTGAAAACAAACTTATACGAGATCTATCAAGATATCCACTGCCGCACCTGCACATAGGCTGATTATCAGACTACAGTAAGAAAGCACATAGTTCTATTGATTGGTCATACATTTTCTTCATGATTTCAGCTACCTTTCATCAGGATGTTCCATGCAAAGAGTTGGCTTTCAGTCATTATCTGGGGTTGACGAATGTGAGCAATGTGACAATGGAAACAACTCAAGTCATTTGAGAAGTATTGCAACTAATTGTACTAGCAGAGCCTACAGAAGAACAGAGGAAAATAATGTAGAAACTTCACAAACGATAAGATTCCAACAAAATTCGCAAACACACAACATTTTTCGCTAGCTTCATCAGGTGATATATACTGGTACAATGAACCAAACTAACCTTGCCATGCTACTATTATATATCCTTTTGTCTCAACCTGAAAGGATTATTTACCTGTGGACATGTTCGATAAACCTCTATTCTCGGAAACTAATAAAGCACGATATCTACATTAAAATACGGTGTACAGTTGATAGCAAATACATATTATTACTTACTTAGAAAGCAAATTCAACAGTGGTAAACTATTGAGGTCTAATTGATCGTTAAGTGGAATGTCAGAATTTTTGAATTTCTGATGATTAAAAATGATTGAGTTTCATTTCTTCATTTCCTACTTATAGAATTTCGGAATTATCATCAAAAATATATGGTTGTCTTTTGATAATATATGTGGTTGGCACGGGTTGGCGTATGTTGAAATTGTTTTCTTCTTCAAAAAATTCAACTTCCGTTCATAAATGCGCTGACAGAACATACGACCTGTCTGAACGATATTTTCCTAAGAACAAGATCCACAGTTGAGTTTGTATACTCCTGATTTCTCGAATTGCGAAGTAACGTTTATGGAAAATTGAAAAATCATGTCCATCATTCATTTTACTCATTGTCATATCTAAGAAATTTGACTTTACTGTTTATATTTCTATTGTGAATTTTATGTTTAGATGGATAGTTATAATATTTATTGGTGAAAATTGTCTAATTGTCTATTGGTTCCTTTAAAGCATACTTTAACGTCATCTACGTTTCTTTACCAATACAAACATTGTTTTTCTACATTCATGCAAAAAGCAGAACTTTATTGAACTATATTCAGTGGAAAAAGAAGTTCTTTATTGCACTTAGTGCAATAAAGTTTTTATTGCACTCATCTGTCATTCTACATCAACGTGCTGTCATCATGACAAACATTTTTTATATTGCAACTGTGGTTATAGAAACGTCATATATTATTCATATTGAAAATTGCACCAATTGTTCATTCACTTTCAACATTGAGGGTAAGAATAAAGTTTGAGTTAAATTGTTCGTAACGTATTAGTTCCTGTTTCAATGCAAATCGATATTAATAATAGGGTATTCAAGTTGCGTTTTACATTTTCCTACACCTAGTGCCGCACCTCAATAAATCATTTTTTGCTTTATGCATGAACGTAGAAAAAATGTTGTATGCAATCGTGCAAAAATTGTTTATTGCACTCGACGTGTTGTCCAACTCGGCCTAACAATTTAACGTCGAGTGCAATAAACATTCACTTTTTGCACTTGTTGCATAAATAACTATTTATCAATGAATGTTTCTGTATTATCTGCTCCAAGTTATCCATGAAAATTCCAGCAATTGAAGGGCTCAGTGGATTTCCCATAATTAACTCTCTTGGCGCGGAATATATTTTGTTGTCAAATTGAAAGTAATTTTGTTTGAGACATATCGACAGAAGGTGATCGGATTAACATGGTTTTTATTTATTTTATTCAATAAATTCTCAACTGAAATCATAATGTCTTCGAAAGGTATACTTGATGGAAATAGGTTTTGTACATCAAATGAAATGAATTTTGTGTTGTCTACTCATTCCATGTACAAAATCTATTTCCAAGTTTACCTCCTGAAGATACTCTGATACCGATAGAGTAAGCAACTCTACCTGACAGTTGTTGTTGTTGTTCTGAAATTGATCTATCCATCATTCGGTTGCACCCCTACGAGCAACCCTCAGAATTCTTCGAAAGTCTTGTACGAGCAAGGAATGACGGGGGCCTTACCTTTTCAACGTGTGATCCCAAACACAACAAAAAATTCATTTCATTTGATGTACTTAGCCTATTTCAAAGTATACCTCCCGAAGTTACTATAATTTTAGTTAAGGAGCCATTAGATAAAAACCATGTTAATTCGATTACCAAACCAGAGATTATATGTCTGAAACAAAATGACTTTCAATTTGACAACAACATATATTTCGCCTAAAGGGTTAACTTTCTTAAATCCACTGAGCCCTTTACTTGCTGAAATCTTCATGGATAACTCAGAGCAAGAAATACATAAACATTCATTGATGAAACAGTGTTTGTATTGGTATAGATACGTAGATGTCGTCAAAGTATGTTTTAATGGAACCCATAGACAATTAGACACTTTTCATCAATATATTAACACAATTCATCCAAACATAAAATTCACAATAGAAATAGAAACAGAAAAGTCAATCAATTTCTATGATTTGACAATAAGTATAATTAATGATAAAAACACACTGAGGGAAAAAATTTGTAGCCGTTACTAAAAAATTAGTAACTACAGAAAAATTTTTTAGTACGATAGGGGACAGCAAGCATTAGTTGTTGCCATAACTAATTCTGATTTTCTGGAAACGCCTATTTGCCTCAAATGAAAAGTTTAGTTGAGTCATCTACGACGTTGTTGTGGTAACTAATAAGCATTTTTAAGGAATAAAACCAAGTTTTATTTGCCACAATCAAGATACATAGTTATGACAATTAGATTGTTAGTACTGTTTCAATATATGTTTGTTATCACAACAAATTATCCCAGTTGGGGCAATCACTCATTTCTTTTGACATTAATAGTGAGTGTGTTGTTGCAAATTAAATATTCAATTGTGACTGCAATGGAATCTAGTTACTATAAAAAGTGATTTAGTAACGTTTGAAATATAATTTAGTTATTCTGGCAACTTAATAGTTTTATATCAATTGAAATCAAAGCCCCATTCTAATAATAACAGTTTTTATGCCATTTTCCTTCCAATTTCCAATGGAATCGTGAACAGGAATACACCACACACCGTAAGTGCCACAGGCCACAGCTCAGCAAAAAGAGAGGTAATTATAAATATACACCGTGTACACGTGACGTCGGATGGACGTTTCTCACCGTCGCCCGTTGTTAACTGAACTGAATTGTGAATAGGTAGCCAAATCTGATAACTACACTGAGGGAAAAAATTTGTAGCCGTTACTAAAAAATTAGTAACTACAGAAAAATTTTTTAGTACGATAGGGGACAGCAAGAATTAGTTGTTGCCATAACTAATTCTGTTCAGTTGAGTCATCTACGACGTTGTTGTGGTAACTAATAAGCCTTTTTAAGGAATAATATCAAGTTTTATTTGCCACAATCAAGATACATAGTTATGACAATCAGATTGTTAGTACTGTTTCAATAAATGTTTGTTATCACAACAAATTAACCCAGTTGGGGCAATTACTCATTTCTTCTGACGTTAATAGTGAGTGTGTTGTTGCAAATAAAATATTTAATTGTGACTGAAATGGAATCTAGTTACTATTAAAAGTGATTTAATAACGTTTGAAATATAATTTAGTTATTCTGGCAACTTGATAGTTTTATATCAATTAAAATCAAGGCCCCATTCTAATAATAACAGTTTGTATGCCATTTTCCTTCCAATTTCCAATGGAATCGT